AAAAAAAAAAGAAGAAGAAGGTGGGAACGTGGTAGAGGGCTGATGATGCTGATGATTGCTTTGTCTCTGCTACTGCTCTTGCACAAAATTGCAAGTTTTGGTCTGGTTAGTGAGGATGGTGAACAGAGGAAGAGAAAGGAAAGATGGTAACAGAGAGTTAGGTGTAATTAACGGATAGTAACGGAACTTAAAAGGTGTGACGGAGTGTGTGGAAAGAGGGTAAATCTACCATTATCTAATGGATGAATGAGGAATATGTATTCCTTCCTTAAAAACAAGGGAAGGAACAACAACAACACTAAGAAAAACTAATAAGGCTTGTGTGATAACCCAAATATTCACTTTCTCAATGTTTTTCATCCAGATTTGCTATTGTTAGAGAAAAATAACAAAAACGGGCAGAGCCACAAGTTTTTTAAGGGGGGCAAAAAGATGTTTTTAGTAAGTGTGATTATATGTCAACGAAAAACTCAATAAAAGGAAAAAAATTGTAACAAAATAAATTTATTTAAATAAAATTTATTAGTCCTATAATGTATAAACACCATCAATTAAAAGATAATAATAACATAAATTGGGTAAAAGAATACTAACAAATAAAAAAAATAAAGTAAAAAGATATTAATGCACAAACATTTTGTAAAAGTATAATAATAAATATTTTTATTCAATTAATCTTTATTTTTCCTCATTTTCATATTGGCATTACTTTCCACTCTTTTATCACGATCATCAAATCTAATTTCATCATTGAAAAAACTAGAAAATAATTAAAATGTTATGAAATAAAATAAAAGAAATAATAAAAACAAAGGTTACTGGACCTAATTAATTTTTTTGCGTCCTATCTCTGCCATTGGATTGCAACTTAAACGTGAGATCTCACGTTAGGCCCAAATAAATTGTTGTACTTGTTTTGAACATTGAAAGCATGATTAAGAACAAGGTCTCTAACTAAATTGTTCTCCCTTAATAGCTAGTTTACCTTTTGTCCAGATTGATTATATTGAAATGTACCTTAACTACTAAATCTTGAGTTTGAGTTTGACTTTAATATTTATGTAGGCATTAGATTATTTCATTTTGGGTTTTCCATGCATTTTATAAGTGTAATACCTTTGGTCTATTCAAGTTGCTCTTGTAACTGTTATGGTTTTCTTATTTCAATAAAATTCTATTTTTCATCCTAAAAAGATAAAAAGAAATATAACAAGAGATTTTTCTAGGTACATCAAATGATGGGGCTCCTTTTTATAACCCTTCCTCACCTGCCTGAATGATTCAATTTAAGATTTCTAACTTGGACTCTCAAGATTTCTAACTTGGACTCTCAAGTTATTAAACACTTTTAACACCCCTTAGGTTAGAAATATGATACTGTGAATGAAATGATTTGGACCAAAAACCTAACAACTCTTTAGACTAAAATCTATAAGCTCTTAAAAACTTAAGTTTAAGTTGTTAGTAATAATTAATCTCTACATTTATATATCAATCACATTCACACTTCCATCTTGATATGGGATTTGAAACATTACAATCTCTTCCACTTAAACAGTTGATGTCCTTATCAATGCCAATGAAAAACAGAATAAGACAATTGGCCCACTAGCATAGGACCCACCTCAAGTGATGTGACATCCATGCTATCATCTATCATGATGGTTAGTATAGGCATACATTTGCAAGAGATAACCTTTCTAATACCAATTGAAAATGACTCGAGGCAAAACCTATCATTAGCCTAAAAACTCTTTGGCCAAAAGTTTTCAAAAACTTGAACTCAAATTGTTAGTAGTGGTTAATCAATTAGTTAAATGCTAATTTTGGTCCCTCAACTTTAGAATTTTGCATAATTTTCACCTCTCAACTTTTTTATGCACCTTTTTGGTCCCTTAATTATGAAAAATGCACTTTTTTAATTCTTTTATTTATCAGTTAATCTATTAAATCTGTTCAAATATGCACATTTTTAGCCTATCAAATTATAATAAATGCACATTTTTCGTCTTTCAATTTAAAAGTTCAAAGACTAAAAATGTGCATATTTGTATAAATTTAACAGATTAACTAAAACTAAAAAGTGCATAAAAATTTGATGACAAAAATTATGCAACATCCTAAAGTTGAAGGACCAAAATTGATATTTAACTCATATCAATAACACTTACACTTCATCGAGTTGTAAGATTTGGAACGTTACAATAATAAACAAAAAGAGTTATAATGTTTTATGCCTCCTTATATTGCTAATGAATCACTTAAGTTCATTGATAATCTAAAGAGTAATTAGGAGGGTAGCATAAACTCTATCCCCTTCCTCTCTCTCACTTTATGTTTCTTTCTTTTTCTAAAAATGTAATTGACTTGTAGTAATTTTGTAAATTCTTTGGGATTTAAGGGCTTTTTGGTTAGTTAATGGCAATTGAAGTAATTTTTGTAATTTTGTTAATCTATTTTTTTTATTAAAAAAAAGTTCTTTTGTCTTTTGTGTAATGGCATTTATTATAATCATTATAAATCTTATGCCTTCTTTATTTGTAGAAAAAGTTTATTGTCTTTTTGACAATTAAATTTGAAGTAATTAATTTTTATTTTATATCATTTTGCATTTGTATGGATTTTTTTATCTTTTCCAAATTGAGGTTATTTCAGTAATAATTTTTTTTTACTTTATATAGTATATTTGCATAAAAAATTATTTAGTTTGGTTGTAAAGTTGATTATATATAAATCAAATAAATTAAGTTCGTCAAACCTATTAAAACATTTAAAAACTAATTATTTAATATCACTTTTTTTCTTTGAAATTGTAAACAAAATAAGATGTCTTAACAATTAAAATGTCACTAATGATAATAAAAACATTTAAATACCTTTAATAAATCAATATACAATAAAAATCCATTTAAAGTATTTGAACAATTTCACAAATAATCTTATCACTTAAAATGCCAAGTTATTTTCGATTTTCACTTTTATCTTTTTCTTTTCTATGTGTTTTATTTTTTTATTTATTTTTAATAATAATTTTTTTTTCTTTTAAAACATATAAACATCTTAACAATCCGAACTGAATAATGCTACACTCTTTATAACGGAAGTAAGTGGTTTTAGGTTTAAAACATGAATATCGATGAGGTGAGAATTGCATGCCTTCCCCATAAAAATAAAAATAAAAATAAAAATAAAAATAAAACTCATTTTATTGTATAAAATCATGAATAAAATAATGTAATTAAAAAATTATAAATCTATGATCACATTTAGTTATAATTACCTTTGACAGGAAGGTGCATTCCAGGTAAGATAAATAGTTTATTTGATTTAAAAGAAATTTAAAAAACATTTATACAATCAAATTAAAATTTTATTCTAACATTTTAATTTGATTGAATGAAAATTTTTCTCTCTACTCTCATCCCCCGTTTCACTTAAACCCAAAGTTGTCAATACTGTATCAACATACATACTGGTTTTGCTACTAAAACGGTACATATCGAATATCAAAATTTTTCATGTACCATTTCAGATTTATCGTTATAAAAAATTTTTGTGAAGAAATTCAAGAAAAATAAGAAGAAAAGGACTCAATCGAAAAAATTAAAAAGTTAAGGATGAAATCTACCAAAACAAATCCACAAATCCATCCCAATATTGAGCCCACCAACAATTTAATTCAAGTCCCAACCCAATTTCATAGCCCAGCCCATCAAAACCCAAATTTAACAATAAAAAAAACCTTAGTTTCCCCTCTTTTAAAGGGTGAAAGAGACTGCCAACAAAAAAAAAAAAAAAATAGAAAGCCTCTCGATTTTTCTCCCTTCTACAGATCTGCGACCACCACCATCACCCCTGTTCCTTCACCTCCGACCTTCACCTCCAACCTTCACCATCCTCTTGCTAGCTAATTGTCGCTCTCATCTCACCAATCACCAAGAAAACAATGTAGATCTAGCTGCAAACCCTCTTGGGACTCCAACCCTGACATCTTCTTGCATCTCATCATCATCACTGCCTCCACCTTCATCATCAGTAAGCAGAGGGGTTCGGCAGCCACCAGAAAGGGAGGATCTTTCTTCTCCAAAAAAATCTCAAGTGGTTGTCAACACCGCCGGTACGCCGAAATACCGGCCAGAATACCGAAATTTGATTGAAACGAAATTAAGCTTTATACTGTTTAGATGCAATGAAAAATTCGATACACCAGCCATATCGACCGATACAAAACAGAATTAACTTCCTTGCTTAAACCCCGATCAAGCTAGAAGGATTTGTTACTTTTGGGGTTTCACCATTACCTTCACTATTAAAAGGACATGACTTTATGCAACTTTAATCACAACTTGATATGATAAAGTGATGGTTAATTAGGCATCACTCCTGCTTAAAGTCTTTCAAGTTTTAACAAGAACACTTGTCAAAAAAACAAAAAAACAAAAAAAAAAAAAATTAACGAGTAGAGATCGAGTCATCGACAATAATTAGTATATTAAGGCAGAATGGCAAATCAAGCCAGGATTTTAGCATGTTTGATAAATGATTACTTCGAACACTTGATAACTCGAGTAGATGATTAATGGTAGTTTTGGTGAGGTTTAAGTACCATTTTGGTTCCTCAACTTTTCACTTTGGTACCAAAATTATCCCTCAGCTTTAAAAAGTACCGAAATTATCCTTAAACTTTCATTTTTGGTACAAAATGATCCTTCTGTCAGTTAAGTGACAAGTGGCACGTTAATTTACTAGTAAATCAATGACATGGAAAAAAAAAAACATAGTTGGCCTTCTTTTGTATGAGTTGGCATTTATATTTAATTTAAAGATAATGATATCTTTTTTTTCTCGTTCACGTCATCTCTTCTTCCTCCTTCACTTTCTCTCTCCTCTACCTTTCCTTATCCCTTACCTCTGCAAACCCAGATCTGGGTTTTCTCTCAAACTTTATCTTCTTCCTCCTTTCCTTTCCCTGCTCATCCTACTTCTTTCTTCTTCTTATTCTTTCTCTCTCTCTTCTCCCTTCTTCTCAAACCCAGATCTAGGTTCTCAAACCAACCCAGATCTGGGTTCTCAAACCAGCGTCGAATCCAATTTGTTTCGAGCTTCAAATACTATTTGTTTCGTTGAATTTTTTGAGCATAGATCGAAATTCATTTTGGAAAGAAAGGTTATAGAAATGGATGTTGACTCATGGAGTGCTCGTCTCTTTTACTCTTCAAGGAGATATCAGTTGGCTTTTCAATCGCAATCTAGTAAGCTCTCTTGAAAGAATAGCAAAAGAAACACCAACAAAGTTCAACCCAAAATATCCAACCACCGAAAACCCAAGAGCACACAAACAAGAATTCCCCCCATAAATGGAGATTAAAGCTTAAAACTTTAATGATTCCTCAAATTAATCCCACATTATTTCTGCTATGAAAACTAGCAAGGGAAATTAATGAAGAAGAGGGAAACATGGACCATGTGATGGAAGGAAAGGAAACGCGACAGAGATGGAGAATATTGGAGAAACCCAGATCTGGTTTCTTGCTTCTATTTAAAGTCACATGAGCAGCAAGTCCTTTGACCCACTGACGCCTCCAACCTCTTCCTCCTCTGCATCCCAGCTCACAGACGTTGATTCCTCTTCACCTCCGACCTCGTCTTTGATGGAATCCATGATCTGTTAAGTGGCTCGCCTTAGCTTCTCCTCCGCTTGTTCATGCCATTTGAAGGCATTTAAAGGGATTGATTTTAGATAAGTTCTTCAAAATACCATAAACTGAACTCCTTCAGAAAGCGGGGAGCGAGCGACCATCGGAGGTGATAACCTTATCTACATTATAGAACAAAGGACAGGTATCGGAACCAAGCTAGAGTGGTGGGCATAAGCGAAGCAACCCAAGATGCTGAGCCTCTCAATTCTTTCTCCAACAACAGTTACTTTCCTCACAAAACCCATATCTCCAATTCCCAAATCTTTGTTCAGTGGAGTTAAAATCCAGCATTTCTGTTCCATTCCGATGGCTACTCGAGTGTCCTTGTCGCCATTTTCTGCAGAGGAGTCGTCCTGTGAAAACATTGCGAGGGCAAAGCCGTTTAGATGAGGTTCTGACCATGTTGTGGTGGATTTTTGTAGAGAAGTTTTTAACAGAATCAAACTTCTCTATAAAAATCCATGTTAATAGAGTTACGGATGCCCAACTTCTTCAGATCGTTAATTTTATGTGATGAAACCCAGATCTGGGTTTGAGAGAGGAAGAGGAAGGCACAGAGGGATGAGAGAGAAGAAGGGAGGAAGAAGAAGATGAATAATATAATAATAAATTATGTGGGTTTTTATTTAAATAAGAAAAAAATGCCACATGAAAAATAAAAAATGCCATCTGATCAAGTTTATTTTTCACGTAATTATTATTTTTTTTAAAATGTGATTTTGTGGCAAGATAACGTGCCACTTGTGCACTTAACTAACGGAAGGACGATTTTGGTACTGAAAATGAAAGTTTAAGGATAATTTTGGTACTTTTTAAAGCTGAGGGACATTTTTGGTGTTAAAGTGAAAAGTTGAGGGACCAAAATGGTACTTAAACCTTTTGGCGATGACAAGTATATGCAATGCACCTCCAAAAGGGGGTGTGGACTGTGGAGAGTCCCGTAGATACATCTATCTACAGAAGACATTTAGGCTTACTTTTAGCCTATGTTTGGATAAAAATTAATAAAGGAAAGGAAGGGGAGGGGACGGGAAAGAAAGGGAGAAGAAGTGAATGAAAGAAAATTGTTGATATTAATTTTGTTTGGATAGTTAAAAATGAAGGAGAGAAAAGAAAAATATTTTCATTTAATTAAATAATTTAATGAAAAATAAAATAAACAAAAATAAAATTTTTTAAATTTATTAATTAAATAAATAATTGTAATAAAATATTTATATATATATTTTTAAAAATTAAAAATTAAAAATTAAAATAAATTAAATAACATAATATGTCCCAATTCCTCCGATTTGGAGGGATTAAAAACAAAGGAGGAGAGGGGACTCCATCTCCCTCCATCTCCTTCCCCTCCATTAAAATTTTTTACCCAAACAAGTGAAGGTGTTCTCTCCCCTCACTCTCCTCTCCTTCCCTCCCAACATCCCCAATCCAAACAAAGTGTTACAGTGGCCTTTTCTCCCCACCTGTACCATTGCGTTCTTGGCATGTGACATTACATTCTTTTTTTCCCAACCCAGTGCCCTTTTCTCTGCCCAAAAGGATTTTCTTGGTTTCAAAGAAAATGAGCCACCCCCTAACCTCCCAGGAGGATGGTAGAAAACAGAACATTATGGACTTTGTACACTCCATAACGAAAGACATAAGAGAGATAATTTCTTTTCCTCTCTGGGAGAGATAATTTCTTTTCCTCTCTGGGAGAGATAATTTCTTTTCCTCTCTGG